TGTGTTCTTATTATAAAGACTAAATAACCTTGTTAGATGTCTTGATTACTCTATAATTTTAACATCTATTGATTTCCTTTTAAAAAAAGTAAGAAGAGACTAAAAACACTACACAATATATATTACGATTTTATTTTATCTTTGCATTTGGTTCAAATTTTTTTATTTTATATCATATATTTTCTAAAATAATATATTTTAGAGGATCGGACTTGGCAAATAGTGATTAATATCCATAATTATTAATTTTTTAGTTCCTAATACATACCTTTAATATTGAAGTTTAATACATCACAATATTAAAATATTAGTAATAATTTATGATTTATAATAAATTACATTTGGGACCTGGAAAATTTAGAACCATGATTGATTAACTTACTCATTAATTCTACAATATCTACTAATTTAATATTAAGTTTGTTAGAACAAAAATTACATGACTTTTAAGTTTAGAAAATAATTAATATTTTTGTAAAATCTCCTATTTTTCTTATATATTCTCATTTTAAAAAAAATACAAAGAAGATTCATTTTAAATTTAATTATTTTTTATATTGTAATAATGGAAGAAATATATTTAATCAAGCTATTTTAAGAAAACTTTTAGAGCTGATTCATATGACCTTGTCGACTTGATAAGTCCATCAGCTACTCGAATAACCTAACCGAAATTTAAGTCCATCAGCTACTCGAATAACCTAACTGAAATTTAATTTGACTTCTTAAGAAAAATTAAAATAATATTATTATAATCTTTGTTTTTAATATTGAATAATGATATTTTAAATTTACTTAATTCAATTTGAATTAACTTGTTTATTTGTGACCTAGGTTATTTACCAACCAAATTTAATAACTCTTGCCTTTTAGAATCTACATTTTAGAAATAACTGATACTTTTTAAAATCTAATTTTTATTTAATTAAATAATGGTAAATAATAAACATTGGAAAGACAAGATAGTTTTTTATTTCAACAAAATAGCTTTTTATTGGCAGAATGCTTCATTGACTAAAAACAATAGCAATTAGAAAAACAAATCTCAAAAAAATAAAATGATTTTAACTAAAATGAAAAAATATATTTTTTTAATCAAAAACTTAATTTTCTTATTCATGCATTTCTTTTTATTTTAACAAAAACATGTTTTTTAACGGTAAGCATCATTTTTAAGTAAATTTTTTTATGATTATGAAAGAAAACTTCAATTTAAAATATTTGAATCAGTCATTTTTACATACTTGTATTAAAAGCCTACAATTATTTTTTTGTGATATATTTAAAGAAAAACATTATCTTCATTAAGAATTTATTGACAATAGATTAGTCTTTTTGATAGCCAAAATATAGCCAATAAAACATATTTTCTCCTCCTATTTATCTCTCTTGCCTCTAAAATTTCAAAGATAAAAATATAAAATAAATAAAGTTTTAGGTTAAAATATAAGTTCCAAGCCGGTAAACAGTAGAGAAAAAAAATTCTCTTTGTTTTTATGCTAAAGTAGGTACATATTGTTTCAATTTTTTGTAAAATGATAAAATTAATTTTTATTGTAAAAAATTGATCAATTTAATGGCATAATATTTTTTTATACCATAAAAAAATATAGTAAATAAATTATAAATATAATATGGGAGTCGAAAATTGAAAAGAGAATTTATCCGAAATGAATAGTTGTCAAAAGGACAAAAGGAGGGGCTACAATCATACGTACCGCAGCAATCCACGTCGCTCCTGTGTCTAACGCCACAACAATTGAAACAGCAAAATACCCTCCTCCTCATTAGTTTATTGTTTAATATAATAATAAATTAATGGGTATTGTTACATAATATTTTAGTCATTAAAAACCTTAAATGGTCTTAAAGATCGAGTTCAAAGACTAATTACGTAAAGTCAAGGTATTAACATTTTAAATACGTTCTATATAAGGTAAGTTGTATTGTTTTATTTGTCTAATTAAAATCTAAGATTTGTTCATGTTTTTTAAATTTTTGTTCTTGTTTGTCTAAGATTTTAAAAAAACCCTCATTAGGAAGTTCTTATCTTCATGGAGTAAAATCTAACTATTCTACCATCCTGAAAAAAATAATTTAATATCCAAAATACATATTATATATAATGTCATTCTTTGGATACTAAAAGTCAAACAAAATAAAATCTTTGTTGTTTTTAAAATTTTGATTAATATTCTCTTGACTTTAATAAACTGGTTATTAAAACTAAAATGTATGCTAAAATTTTTTTTTTTTGTGTATGAAAAGCATAATATAATTTTTTAGCTTTAAGACACTTGGCCGTATGCACAAAAATATTTATTTAAAAAAAAATTGTATTAGATTGTTTTATTTGTCTAATTAAAATCTAAAATTTGTTCATGTTTTTTTAAATTTTTGTTCTTATCTGTCTAAGATTTTAAAAAAACCCTCCTCATTAGGAGGTTCTTATCTTCATGGAGTAAAATCTAACTATTCTACCATCCTGAAAAAAATAATTTAATATCCAAAATACATATTATATATAATGTCATACTTTGGATACTAAAAGTCAAACAAAATAAAATCTTTGTTGTTTTTAAAATTTTGATTAATATTCTCTTGACTTTAATAAACTGGTTATTAAAACTAAAATGTATGCTAAAACATTATTTTTTGGTGTATGAAAAGCATAATATAATTTTTTAGCTTTAAGACACTTGGCCGTATGCATAAAAATATTTATTTAAAAAAAAAAAATTTGTATTGGAAGTTTTGATGAAAACCGAGTATTTTAATATCGAATTTTGTATATTTTTAGCTATATAAAAATACTACCCGATATTAATCAAAATGATATAAAAATATACATAGGAAAATTATAAAATTCTAAAAAATATTTTTAAATGTTTTTTTTAACAAAAAAAAATAGGTCAAACCTGGCGTAATCATTTTGGGTTGGGTCTGACCCGCCCCATATATTGTGAGCTAGACTTAGCCAAGCAATGTAGGCTAGGCTGATATTCCAGCTCGTAACCATATAAGTTGGTTATTGTGCATGAGCACATTAACTAGCCAACTTTGCATTTGCCGCAGAACGTGATTTATTCACATTCTACATGCAAATGCAAGCGAGGCTAACAAACAATGAAGAGGAAGGCACAGTTATCTGGAGCGTTGGCGACGCTGGCAATAAGGGTGGTGGTTGCCCCTTTTCTTTTTCTTTCTCTGTGTTTTTTGCTCTCTTTTTTTAATTCCTTTTCTATTTCTCTATTCGACACTACCGGTGCCAGTAGAGAGAAAGAGCAACGATGGCGCTGCTGAGCTGAAGGTGACAGGCGATGGTTCTTCTTCTTCTCTCTCTTTTTCCTCTGTTTTCCTCTACTTTTTTTTTTTCTCTCTCTCTCTTTCATTCCTTTTGGTTCCTCCTCCTTCCATCCTCTCCTCTTTTTTTTCTTTTTTTTTTTGTTCTCTTCCCCTATATTTATAGGCAAAAATAGGGGAAGAAATGGTCTGATCATTGTGCAACCGCCCTTGGACTGTCCAAGGGGTGCATCCCCTCTGTTTTCATAGCCTCGTGGTAGGCCACGGATCAAAATTTATGCAAATGGGGTTATGGTTGATGTCTTTTTGATGCTTTTGAAGGAGGAGGGAGAAAAAGTCTTCTTCTTCCCCTACCTTGGAGGTCCAAAGGAAGAAGAAGACCCATAGTACCGTTTAAAACGACACCATTTCTTATTTTTTTATATATATATAAACAGTGGATGAAACGGTGTCGTTTTACCCAAAACGAGTCGTTTCATTTAAAAGAAAAGAGCAGTATATATATATATATATATATAAACAGTGGATGAAACAGTGTCGTTTTACCCAAAATGGGTCGTTTCATTTAAAAGAAAAGAGCGGCAAAAATGTGTCAAAATCCAAATTAATCTTTAATTTGAAATTTATTCAATCAAGTCCTAAATTATAATTTTGATTCTAAAAATCAATTTAATTGCATCCATACTAAATTCAATCGTCAGCCCTGAAGTTGGTAGTCCTTTTCACTTTAGTTCTTGGTCTCCTATGAATGCAATTTGACCCTCAATTGATCAATAAACTTTTAATTTATTCAATTTGGCCCCTGATCCGGTCAATTATCCCCCTTAATTTACATGCGTTTTTCATTTTAGTCCTTGATTTGGGATTTCTTCAATTAAGTCTATAATTGACAATCAAACTTCAACATTTATGCAATTAAACCTCTAATTTAACCAAATTAACTCTCAGAAATTATAATTTTAACCCATAACTTTAATATCTTCTTATTAAAGCCCAAATTGACTTCAAAATCAATTTTTCTTGCAATCAAACCCTTCATAAATTCAATTAAACCTTCAATAAAATTTAATAAAGTTTATAAATATCTAATTTTAAGCTTTTCTTCTTCAAATTAATTTTTTTATCAATAAAACTCTTTTATTAGTCAATAAAATACTGTTATATTTTAATTTTATATTTTTAAACCTTCTAAGCTAATTTTTAACATTTTCAGAGCACTTTACTGCTATTAATTTTTTGTTTTTTTATTCTAAATATATATTTTATGATTTTTTGAAAGAAAAAATTAAATTTGAGTAACCCAAAAATAAGTTATGACACATCCATTTACATTTCTAATGCTCAAGCCCTAATTTACAGAGGAAATTCAAATGGTTTTGTTTTGGTACCGTGACATGCCTTGAAGAGTTCATGAGAACGCTAGTAGGCATTTTTAGGTTTTTAGCAGGCAAAATAATCGCCCTAGCGCTCGCAATATCTAGCATTCATTAATGGCTTACTTTATTATTTCTCTTGCTTTTGACCCAAAATTGCCTGCTCGCAACCGAATTCCTGCTTTCAAGTCGGAAAGTTCTTGTCCGGGAAGATGGAGATGCATCATGAACTTTCAATCGCATAGAAGAAGCTCCCTGATATATAGATGGTCGCTTGCTCAACTGTGCGCGCGCAAACATGCAGATACAGCTGTCCACACGTAATAAAACCCAAGAGAGAAAAAAGAAAGATTTACAAGTGCTCTCAAGAGAGACGAATGGTGAGTTAACCAGAGAACTATATATCCATCCACCTATAGATACTAGTTCAGCGCTACATTAATCCCTCTATCCCACTACAAAACTAATACATGTACACCCTATGTTTCCCCTGAAAAAATACTTGACATGCATAGAAATCTGTCGGGTATTTAACAGAGTATCTCCCCCTCTTCTCCATCTCCATCCAGGAACTCCCCACCATCCACATCTTCAATGTCATCTTTCATAAACAAACCCAACCGCTCAAGTGGGCTACCGATGCAAGCTCCAATTTCACCCTTTTTTACCACTTCCATCTTTCCGCTGCCAAAACGGAAATCGAATGATATTGAACAGCCACAGAGCCTCTCCAGTTCTCTTTGGATATCTAGGTTCTGTTCAATCTCAACAGTCTTTTCCATCTGCAGTGGCAACCAAAATCGACAGGTCAGAGGCAATTTAAAGTAACATCAATCAGGAGGATCCACAAATACAAGTTCAATTGTGAAAATCAATTAGCAAGTAAACCTTTTGTAGCGCAATTCGAGCAGCTTCTCTTTCCCTCTCCCGTTGCATTTTCAGTTCCATCTCTTCCCTCCTTCGAGAGGCAGCTTCAGCAGCTCGGATTTGTGCTTCAATCCAAGACTTCTCTATATTGTCATGAAATCAAAGTCCACAATTAAAACAAAATATGGGACACTGGCATGAACAAAAAAAGATTGACAAGCCATGCAATAGACAGAGAACAATCTTAGAAATAGAAAACATGTGAATTCACATACCATGCACGTGATCCCACACAAAATAAAATTGGACACCATACCAACACAGAAATAATATAATCATCTACTTTCAAGAATAACAAAGACAGAAATTGGAAAAATTTGACACCAACCCAACATACCCATCACAAAGTTAACCATGCCTGAATGCTGAATATCAATAACCAGGACAATTGTGTTTTAACATTTTTTTTCTTTTGATTGTTAATATGATACATAAGGACCCAATACCATGTTTGTGTACGATTATAACAAGGAATACCTGATGTAGCATATTTAGGAAGAGAATAAGTGACCTAAATTACCTTCCCGCTGCCGCCTTTCCAATCTTTCCTTCTCCTGCCGCACCTTCATTGGATCAGCTTTATCACCCTAACAATAAGAAAGAACAAATGAAAAATCAGGCACCTGTACCATCAGCTACCCTCATTTCACAGTAAAGAGTCAAAATTCAACACCACCTCAGGCTGCCACACAAAGAAAAAAAGCTTACATCATGAAGCAGTGCCTTGTTTTGAGCTTTTAAAATAGTATCTGCAAATCGATGTTTTATTGTTGCATAACGGAGAGCTTTAGTTGGAGATAATGGAACATCAAAAAGAGAGCTCCAGTCTAACAAACAAAAGCAAAATTCAAAAAAAAAACATCAGAATTAAAATCAGGTTAAAACAACAGCTTCAGCACTTAATTCAATTACATGAAAGCCAACCTTCTCCAGATGCTGCATCTGTGACCGAAGTTGTAAGCTGGGAACTGGGACATATATTTTCATCATCCAAAGCACTAACAGCCCCTACATATCAGTTGGAACAGCATTACAGAAGTCAGGTAACCATATGGTATGCATTTTAATATTACAAATACCAAAAACAAGTTTTCTCACCATCAGAATCTGGATCTGATTTGCTCATCTGGGGTACAGGAATGCTTTTTTCCTGGAAAAATAACTGACAAGCATGCTTGATCAGACATTGCAGAAAATTGAATTTTGACCAACACTGGATCATGATGGACACATTACCATACCAGTTTGGAGGTATCAGTGCTACATGCACGCTGATCTCTCCCTGATGATCTCTCAGATGATATATCTAAGCCAAGGAAAAACATACAATGGTCAAACAAATAATAGGTAACAAAACCATGGCAAGGGAAAAAAATAAAGTTAGCTATCCACCTGAGCTTGTATGGTTTGAATCACTTTGGAGCCTGCATTGACAAGTATTACTGCCACAGCTACTACAGTTTGGGGCAACTGGGATCAACAATGGCTTCACATTCTTAGAGACGCATGCATGTCTTCCATCACCATCAGTGCCTATAACACTACTCTGCCACTTCACACCTTTGTAAGAATTTGGCACCTGAGACTTGCACACCCCTGCTGGTCTAGTAGGCTTTGCCTATAAACAAAGCAGAAATATGCAAACTTCAACTACAAAGATTTTGAAAATATATAAATATACATTAGAAAGTAAAAGTACTTAGAACATAGCAGACTTCAATTACTAAAAAACTGCAAACATATATAATACAATAGCCAAAACACATGGGTCAGATATATATACAGCAATCAGAGGTTTCTAGTTAGAGCTGTATTCTAGTTTTTCATTATAGATCCAATCCATCCTAAATCTAAAGAAATAACTTACTTCCAAAATAACACTTGCATTGGATGAGCACCTTATCACCTTTTCTTCAGATGGTTTTGACTTCTTTGGAAAAGCATTGCTGTGCAGAGGAGGTGTTCTGGGACAATTCGGTCTGGAATCAATGATTTGTGTTGTCTGTCCACTTATAATCTTTCCACTTCCAAACTTAGGTCCTTCATGATTCCATTTATCCTCTAAAGCTTTCCAACTTGTCTCAAAAATCCCATTCAGTTCCTCTGCCATTTTATGGACATTATTTGTAGGAGGATTATACAGCATGGCATTTGAAAAGGTCAGTCTGATATCATCAGCAAACTCCTTGATGCTAGCATAACAATTCTTTCCCAGCTTAGACTTTACTGTTCCTAGATCCATGGGAATTGAAATAATAGAGAAATAATCAGGAATATTCAGTGCTACTGGATCCACAGGCTTATTGAAAACCCAGCCAGCTGGATGAACCATCAGCGATTTTAGAAGGGCAGAACACTGTTGTGTCACTGCACGGTCCATCTTCAGCCTCTTCTGCTGTTTACACTCTATCATCTTTGGCAGTCCACGCTTCCTAGAACCTGACACAGAAGATTTCTGCTTCACAATTTCTGATTTACTTGTCTGAGAACCAGGATTCTCACCCACAGAAACACTGCAACTCCGTTCATCAGCAAGCAACTTTTTCCCAGGAATAACTTCTATTCTTTGGGAAGCAATCTTAATTGTCAACTTCTTCATCACTACACTCCCAGCAGCAATCATTGTGATGAGCTGAAAGCACCTGAGAGGAGTAACCTCAGATTTCCAGCTTACCAGGCACCACCAAAATTATATGACCGGCAGCACTGTGCCAAGCAGTTCCCTAACGTCAACAAAACCAACATGCATAAGTAAGGGAAAAGTATACAACCCTGCATAAGTTTCAAAACAAATAAGGCCGGCCCGGAAAAGGAAAAAAATGTAGATTTAAATGAAAGAAACCAGCAAAGCAGGCGAGCCCACGAAAAACCCTCAAGTCAAATATCAAACAGAGAATACACACACACACACACACACAAACACACACACATCAAACTCGCATCACACACACAAAGTTTTAATCTTCTTCGCATTGCATCAAATCACAACAACAGTTATTTTACCATTAAATCAATAATCATTAACTTAATTCACAAAAGCACAGTATAAACACGAAAACCAACAGAGAACACGATTGGGGTTTCCAGAACTTGAAGTCGAATAAGAAAAGCAATCAAACAAAAAACCCAGATATCGATATCCAAAAAATAACCCTAAAGTCCGATGAGTCTAGCGCTAAAAAAGATAAATAAAACGAAATCCGAAATCACAATTCAACAGTTAGATATTAGGATTTAAAGAAAGACTTACCAGGATCCAAAAGGGGAGATCGCAGGCTGCTCTGGAAGAAGATTTGACTGCAAGAAGGGCAAGAGACAAGGTAGTTTTGTAGGGCAGTGCCTACTAGAGAGTGACCTCTCTCTCTCTCGCTCTCGCTCTCGCTCCTAATCTATTTTAGGGTTTTTTCTTTTCTTTTCTTTTCTTTTTTTTTAATTTTTTTCTTTTGTCTCTCTCTCTCTGGGGGTGGCTTTATTTATACTACTGGCCTACTGGGAGATGGAGTAGGAGATCCAAGTACATTGCCTCGTTTTGTTGTAATGACGCTTTTGTCCTCGTTAATGCCGTCGCGGTTTTAATTTAAGTAGCGTTTTTTTTTCCTTTTGGTTTAGATGGTGTACTTGTTGGTAATTCTAGAAATTTGTTTTAAATAGAAAATACGATAATTGAGTTTTTTAGCTATTAATTACAAAATCGGGCGGGAGTGAGTATTTATAATTATAATTATAAGCAAATGGAAAAGGTAAGGGGAATTCATGGGGTTAAACGCATCGTGTTCACAATGCTTTTTTTGCATCTATTTTTTTTTTTTTGTTAATTTAGCTCTCAATAAACTTATACATTAATTTAAACTAATTTACTAATAGAGGATGAGATTAAAAAAAATAACACAATTAAAAAATTAATATTTTTTTAAGTATAATAATATCAAAGTAATAAATAACTTAATAAAATTGGAATCGAACCACAAAAAAATTAATTATAATAATAATAATAATAATAATAATAATAATAATATCAACAAAAACAACAATAATAATAAGTTAAAGAGAACTTTAAGATGTAAGATTAATGTGAAGATTAAACA